TATTTAAGTCTCCAATGAATTTTAATTAAACGAAAGTAAGGCATCAAATAGAAGGTAAAGTTGGTGAAGGATGATTTGCTAAAAGTTCACACAGGCACAATGTTTTATGGTCAGGGTTTAATCTTTCCTATTGGACTTGGACAGATTTATCAGAGCTTCTTGGCAGATATGCAGTCTTTAAAATCTTTTCCATATCAGCACAGTCAACCAAGGTAATAGAAAGTGACAAGAAATATCTCAGATCCATAATTAAATTTGAAGGATAACAAGATGTTCATTTCAAGTAATTATTAATAGCATTTAATTATCTTTATAAAACATATAGATTTCATTTTAACTTCTTGAGGGTAGGGGCTGTTTCTTAGTGTTTTGCTTTCTTAGTTTAGAGATTAGCCTAGAACATGAGAAACAGAAGCTGCTTAAGGGATGTTTCCTAAATAAATGAGTGAATGAATGAATGGATTTGGGATCTTGCAGAATAATGGATGAAACAATCCACTGCTGCTTCTACCAGTCCAGTTAAGAGAAAAAAAATACAAATTATTCCTGTGCTTAATTAAGTATAAAAACTTAACTCTTTTTCACAGAAAAAATGAATAAAAATATAAAACAAAACACTGGTTTTCAAGTCAGAAAATATGGATTCTAGCCTGCACCATCTCAAATAAGCAGAAAGTTGCAAAAGAGTCATATTATTTTAACTATATGCACTCATATCCAGAAATTTAATATTTTCAATTATACCTATAAGTTTAGATACAATTTTTAAAATATATTTTATTGATTTTTTTTACAGAGAGGAGGGGAGAGGGATAGAGAGTTAAAAACATCAATGACAGAGAAACATAGATGAGAGAGAAACATCTATCAGCTGCCTCCTGCACACTCCCTACTGGGGATATGCCCACAACCTTGGCCAGAATCGAACCTGAGACCCTTCAGTCGGCAGGCCAGTGCTCTATCCACTGAGCCAAACCAGTTAGGGCTAGATACAATTTTTGACAATATATTGTAAAACTATGGAAATGTTCAATCATTTTGTTCTCATAATAACTATCAATTAGGTAAGTTCAGTGAGCAGCTCACTGAGGCTACAATGTGAGGATTTTAGAATAGCTAATGTTTGTTAACTTCATTGACATTATAAGACTTTTATTTCTCCTCAATAAAGAGGCATTTTGCAATCACATGTCTATTGATTATCAAACACTGCTGTTCAAATAACAATATGAAAGGTGCAAACACAGATCTGTTTTCTTTTTTTAGCAGGAAGCACCATGGTGTGACATCTTTATGTAAATGTAGAAATATTCAGTTTACCCAAAGTAGCAATGTTCAGTAGCTGAAGTTTCCTTTAACCACTAAGATTATGTATGGAATACCACTTTGAAATTCTCAAACCTTGGCCTAAGAACAATTTTCTTCAAGGTGGAGAAAATTTGGAACAAGGGGTCACAATGCATGTTTTCTGGTGTAAAATGCAATAAAGTAGAAACTTGGTCTTTACTTCCTCTATGTTAGTGTATTATTGCAAGCAAAAGAAGTAAAATAACATTGCTCAAAAGTAAGTGGAAGAAGTAAAAATGTGAAAAGTCGAGGGAATCACACAGCTACTGAACAGAACAAATGGATAGGATTTGAAGTTTAAAATTCTTAGGATTCATTCTCAGCTTAAGCATAATAAAAATTATTTGAAAAAATCACAGCTACTTCTAAGAAGGGAAATGAACACAACTAAAGCATTACAAGACTTTTCCCAAGTGATCTCCAGTATCAATATCTTTTTATTAAATGTAACAGAGTCCCCTTCTTCTCTTTCCTTTATAAAACCTATAGGATATAGTCACAAATATTTACTAACTACCACTGTGTAGGTGGATAGCATGCTCCTGCAGTGAGAAGAATTCAAAAATAGATAAAGCAATCCATGCTCTAGAAGAGAAACATGTAAATACGTAAATGTTTACAATACAAATACAATGAAGTAAGAGCTCACAGGACATAAGTCAGAGAAATGTATATTAATCACGAACTGTCTTATGAGGGAATAATTAAAAAATAATGCTGAAAGAATTCCTTAGCATACTTTTCATTAATTTATATGCTAAATTCTATGATCGGTTTAAGATGTTAATAACTTTAACATCTATTGCCATGAGTGTGATTTATTTTTATTATTATTTCAACCTGAGTGCATTTGAATGTGTCATCTTTTGTTACTACTTACTTAGTAAACTACTGTGTTAGTACTACAGTCTTATATAGCTTCTCCTAAAATGTTACTCTAGACTGTTTTCAGTGATTGGCAATTGATGCACTTCCTCAATTTCTAAAAGTAAAACTGAGAATTATTTCAAAATAAAACAGAGAAATATAAAATGGTAATAATTTATGAATATGACTGGACATATCCTCATATAAGGTAATTAGGCCAGTATGAAAAACTGTGAAGTGAACCAAGGAATTCATCTGGTACTAGCAAGAGGAACTGCACCATCTGGAAGGCACAGTAATACACAGAAAAGCTGTGGTGCTGCAAAGTGCAAAAAAACACCAATGACAACTGGGAATTAGCCCCATGTCTTTTGCACATAACTACCTATTGCAAAGAGTTCACAAAATTACTATGTAAAATATATACTATTGGTCCTAACATTTTAAAAGTTATATTTCTTTAAAGAAGAATACGGAAAGTAAAATGAAATATTTTTTGTTTTATATCCAGTCATCTTCTTTTATTTGCCTTAGGCCATAGGTACAGAGCTATTTTGTACAATGCTTTCAACAATAATCAAAGGTGTCTGCCAAACTCATGAGAGCTTCTGACTTTTAACCCACTTAACTTCCAAGTATGAGATAATTATCAGCTTAAAGCAGCCAGGTCCTGCAATATGCCTGTGTGTCTGTGCTCTAAGACCACGACTCCAAGAAGAAGCTGAAAAGCACAGGCTATTCAAGGTGGCAGAGTACTTTGAGTTTTTATCAGTCTAAAATTTTGGTTTTCTTTAGAAAGGAATGCAAATGTTTAGTTTCTTTGTACCCGTGAGAACCATCCTACCACACTCAAGGCTAAGTCAATTCAAAGAGTGACACATAATTGCCTCTGTCAGTTTAATCCTTGCTCTAAAATATTGGGTGGGTACTAAATAAAGCAAAGCACCATAAGTAGTCCCATCCCAGTCAATGTGGCACATCAAAAACATGTCTAGTATTTTCTACTGATACATTTGAAACACACTTGCAAACAGTTTTGCCTTCTATAAGCTTAAGTACATTTATTGTAAGTTATTTATAAAAAGAAATGTTTAAGTCTACAAACTATTATTGTTAACATAACTTAAACATGTGCCCAGAAGCTGAGAATGAGCTTCCTGACACTATAATGAGCATCCTCCTTCCTGCAACTTCTCCTACACTATGTACAATTCACCAAAATCATGAAGGAATAAAGGGAAATCATGGCAAGGATATCAAGGAAAACTAAAGTAAAATAGAATCTCAATGCATATTGAAAGAGAGAAGTATAGGAATGTTCAACAATTTTGTGAGGTCACAAAGACATCAGGAGTTCAGCAATGGCTTTGAAAATGTAATTGGATTATAATTCATTTCTAGGTCTTCCTCTTTTTCTTCATTCATTTTTAAGTATCATCACAGGAAGAAGGAGGCCCTTATTATAAGACTGTGAACAAGTGAAAGTCAATATATTTTACTAGTGGCCCAGTGCACGAAATTCATGCATGGGGGTGGGAGAGGATTCCTCAGCCCGGCCTGCACCTTCTCCAGTCCAGGACTCCTTGGGGGATGTCCAACTGTCAGTTTAGGCCTGATCTCTGCATGCCTAACTGCCTCTGCCTTGGTCCCCGCCACCATGGCTTTGTCCAGAAAGACTTTGGATGTCCAGAAGACATCTAGTCAATCTAGTCTAATTAGCATATTACCCTTTTATTAGTATAGATTATCAAGTAATGAGTTCAGAAGGCATCATGGCTCCTCTAGTCTGCACCCTTTCCTGAACTTAAGACATCCTTCCTCAGGAGGACAGAGCTTCTGGGGCGGAGAGAAGATCAGGAAGGAGGGGGCTTAGGAACAGGGTAGGGATATCAAATACATACTCACCTGCATGTCTTTAAAAATGCTTGAAAGGTAATTATTTCCTTTCTAACTAAACACCATCAACAATATTCATTTCAACATTGGCTGAATTAAATAACAGTTTAAAAATGGCTTGATCAAAATATTCTGGATAATGGAAGATATGTAATATATCCTGGTATTTGGAGCATATGCAAAATTGGAAATCTGTCCAAAGAGCCATTTCAAGATCTCACCTTTTATAATAGATTAAAAAAGGGTAAGAAAACCCTTGGGGAAACAAATTATTCTCTAGGTCTCATTCAAAAACATCAATTTGTATTTATTCAACATCTGTCTAATTTATCTTAGATTCTGCAATTTATCATAGATTCTGTTTCTGTAAACTGAAAAATTTAATGTCTGTTTCTGTGGGAACTATAAGTATTTTGGAAGCATTTTCTGTCTGATTTTCCTATTTTAGCATTACAGAGCAACCACAGAGACAGGAGCTACAGTGCCGCAGGAAAAGAGGGATGGTTTAAATATCAACCTATGATTTATCTACTGAAGTTTACTTTTCTTTGGATCTGATGTACTATAACTAGATTATGATCTAAGTAAATCATGTAAATGTAGTTAATTGGTAATATGGATAAGGGACTTTCTGAAATCAATAGTGTTAAAGAATTACTTAAAACTAATATAAACTGACACATGCAAAAGAATAAATATAAAAACAAAAATACCATATTATATACAAGAAACATATGTGTGTTTTTTTTGGTTTTTTTTTTAACAACTCTTCAAACAAAGCACTTCTCAGTATTATTTCCTGAATCATTAAGATGAAGAAAATTGAAAAGACAGATATTGCTAAGGAATATAAGGGAGAATTCACATTGCTAATTAAACCTGGATTATACCTGCCATGCTGTAAGGCAAGAGGTGCACATCAAATGCCCACAGGGCTCAATCTTGACATCTTTGTCATTCTCAGCACAAATTTTGCAGAGCTGGAAAGTGGAGCCCATTTCACAATATAATTCATATTGTTCCTGCAATTTGGGTGAAAAATAACATTAATATTATTTCTTGTATAAACTGTTAACATTAAATATTCCCAAATACCATTTCTTGCTCCCATCAGGATTGTGTTGCCATTTGAGACATGTTATAAATTGATAATGGAAATTTGGTCTACAAAAAAAAAATATTTTAAAGATTTGAGCTTTTATTAAAAGTCAATGACATAAGTTCTTTTACTACTTGGGATTATTTAATGTTTTGTACCATTCTTTTAGGAAGGGACTTGCTTAAAAAGTCACAGGGTGCCCTAGCTGGTTTGGCTCAATGAGTAGAGTATCAGCCTGTGGATTGAAGGGTCCTGGGTTTGATTCTAGTCTGTGACACATGCCCGGTTGCAGGCTTGATCCCCAGTAGGATGCATTCAAAAGGCAGCTCATCAATGATTCTCCCTCATCATTAATGTTTCTCTCTCTCTCTCTTTCACTCTCCCTTCCTCTCTGAAATCAATAAAAATATATTTAAAAAAAATAGTGATACAAAAGACAAACAAGGTTTTAAAAAGCAATGTAATTAACTTTTTTTTGTAAATGCCACATGCTCATCTAATTTTATTGTCAAATTACCAAAATCTATGAATAAACATGATTCTTGCTGAATATTAAATTTTATTTCTTAGATACCTATAGAAATTCCAGAATGGAAGGAAGGTAGCATTTGCCAAGCCCTCCTGCATGTAAGGTCCTGTGGCCCACATTTATATGTCATGTGACCTCCAGAGTATAATAAGATATATTGAATTTTAAAAAATAATTAAGGTTCAACAAGTTTAAGTTTTCCTTAAATTCTATATTAAATTTCTAAACTGCATACTTTCCCCCCAATCTTAATCACTTCAGCAACCAAAAGTTGTTTTACTGAAACTCTGATTTACTGGTTCAGAACCTTTTGACATTGTACAATTTTCAGTGTTCAAATATTGAAAAGATCTGTCACAAAGGAGATACAAATATATTGGTGAGTATAAAGAAAATACAAAAAATGGTGTTATTTAATAGGGATACAAAAAAATAAATTATAGAAATAAAATCTGTTTAAATAAGGCAATGTTCTAATCTAGAAAATGCCTACGTGCCTGGTACTGGTAGGGTAAATAAATGACAATATTTAATCCCTAACCTACTAAAAGATTTTACAGTCTTGGTGAGGAAAACAATATACATAGACATAGATAGATATACAAATATGCACCTATACACATTAATATGTAAATCATGCCTACCATAATGGATATACGTGTGACTATATAAATATATATATTTTTTAATTTAAGGAAAAAGTATGAGAGAATAGATCAAGATGGAAAAAAAAATCTAAAGCAATTCAAAATAAATTATAAATCATTGAAGTCCCTAAAATAATATATACGTTTTTATGTAGGTTATGACATCCAAAGGATCAATTTACAATTATAAAAAATTTTTTACAATAACTTAAAAACCTAAAGGCAGAATTTAATTCACTGTAATGGGTATTCTAGCCAAATATGTATGACTCATTTAACGGAATGGTACTATTCTTGAATATGTATTTTAAAATAATTGTTTTATAAAAATAAATGTTATGAAATATAAAAATTTTATTAAAATATTATATACTATAGAGTCACTATATAAATAATAGAAGTCATATGTTAAAGTTGAAAAACTGCCCACAAATTGTACATATGTCAATAAGTATAATAATATCAAGACCACTGGGACTAAAATCTAAAGAATTAGAAATAAAATTTTAAAAATTATTGTCTTCCCCAATGCCATTAATTTGTATTTCATTAGATTTTTATTTATTATACACATCAAAAAGCCCAGCCAGTGTGGGTCAATTGGTTGAGCATCCTGACATGCACCAAGAGGTCTCTGGTTCAATTCCTCATCAAGCACATGCCTGGGTTGTGGGCTCAATCCCCAGTAGCAAGAAGCAACTGATTGATGTTTTTCTCTCATAGATGATTCTATCGCTCCCTTCCTCTCTCTCTAAAACATCAAGAAAAACATATTTTTAAAAATATATATGTTATAAAATATTTTAAAACTAGATTATGTATAAAATGATGCTTTTTTATGTATAAAATGATCCTCTCCTTGACTCCCCAATATTTTTACTCACTCAGTTAAAAACAATGTTACCAGTTTGGTGTTTCTTAATTTTTATTTTCTAAAATTATTTTAATGTGTTCATAGTCATTTCTTTAGTCACAGAAATTAAACTTACACAGTGTAATTTTACAAATTGAAATGTTATATAACCGAGTGTCCCAAGATGGAAGTTTTTTTACAAAAAAATGGAGAAGTGACCATGTGATTATATAGAACTACCATCCTCCTGCTAATGACTTTTCAGTATAATACAGTATAGGTATAATTTTTTTATTTTATTTACTTATTTTTAAATATATTTTAATGATTTTTTTACAGAGAGGGAGAGGGAAAGAGAGTGAGAAACATTGATGAGAGAGAAACATCAATCAGCTGCCTTTTGCACATTCACTAATGGGGATGTGCCCGCAACCAAGGTACATGCCCTAGACCGGAATCGAACCCAGGACCTTTGGGTCCTCAGGCCAATGCTTTATCCACTGAGCCAAACTGGTTAGGGCAGGTATAATTTTTAAAACTATAATAGAATATTTCAGTATTTTCTAAGTTTCCATTTTTAAGAAAAATGCTAAAGCAAACACCTGGGATATAGAGCTTTGGGTATATCTGCAAGTGGTTTATATATGGACTCTAGAATAAAAGGTATTTTTATTTAGATTTTGGTAATTACTGAATGCCACCCAGTTACACTTTCACTCATAATCTATGAGGCTGCCAACAATGGATTTATAAAAATATAATTATTATCTTTAATAGGATTCACTTATTCATTTGACTCTAAAAGCCAATGCCTATAAATTATCCTAACTGCTATGCAGTTCCCTAAACCTATGGCTCCGTCATATTTACCTATTTATCTTTGGATTTATCTACCTATCTCCCCAAATAACTAACAAAATTATATTGGAAGCAAGAACATTAACAGCAAAAATTTTTATTTAAAAAATGGAAAAAGTAATGTGTTTTTTTTTCTTTCAAACACCCTTAGAATTCCTTAAGTATTTTTGCATTAAGTGCCTGTACATGATTTTGACTATAGAGTAAGTAGAGAATTTTATTTATGTGAAAGCATTCTAGATACTTATTAATTATAAGTACATTTTCACAAATTGTCCTTACCTGTGTAACTTTTATATGATCATGTGGTGTAGGTTCACATAATCCAGTTAAATCAGGATTATAACTCCTCCCATCAGGATAAAGGTAGCTAGAAATTAAAGATACATTTTATTATTATAAATTTATGTTTTAATTGCAACTAGGTTATTTTATCAGATTATTCTATATTAAAACACAAACATTTGAATACTTCCTTTTTATTTAACTTATATCAAGAACCTATTCCATCTCTATTTCCATAATATTGTTATTTTTAATACTTTTAAAATCTAGAAATCACTTTCACATAAGAAATGTATAACAAATATTAACTCAGCTGCTAAGCAACCATTTCAAATAAATACCTTTACTATATGTCTGTTAGGTAATTTAAAATTTTATTTTACTGGTCTCTCATATTCTATACCAATATACTCTGAACATGTATATTTTTGCAATTATTACATTTTTCATCTGAAGCACAGTTAATGTTAATATATCATTTTAAATTATATTTAACACAAGAAAAGTGGAATTAAAGCCCATAATTTCCCCCAAAAGTTATTCAAGCATTTATTTGGCGTCCCTCTTTCTCCAGTTTCCTCTTCTCTCTCTTTCCATTTCACCTTCTACTCACCCAACATGTTTAAAGAAATCAGAAAGTGTTGCAAGTCCATGTTTAATTTACTTCAAATCAAACTATGAACAGAGAGTTTTATGAATATAACCTTCCATTATTAGAGAGAACTGAAAGAAGAACTAATGCTCCAAAATTATAGTAATAATGCCATCTTTCTGTGGTAAGATAGTTTTTACTAAGAAATTCATTAAAAATTAAATTTATTGGATTTGTAAATACCTATTTTTCATTTTTAATGGCAGTATTACTGTTGGATTTTGTCAATTCACTGCTATGACTAATTTTGTTCAATATCTCTCTGTGCTAAATGGCTTAAAATGAAAAATTAAGAATATACTACTATAGTGGTAAATATTGTAAAGGAAAAACTATACTAAAACTGTTCTGTGAAGTAACAAAAATATTTATCTTTAAATAGTCTATGAATAAGTTAGTGTTAAAATTTACCTAGGGAAACCAGAAAAAAATTAACTTGGAGAACAAACAATTCTCAAATGGTAAGGAACGAATCAATGAGATAAATCTTTAAGACTTAGGAAAAGTGGATGATTATATTTGAATATGATACAAAGTTATAGTGTTATTCTGAGGCTGGGATAAAATTCTACAAATATTAAGTAAAGAGTCATAAGCAAAACTAGTAAGGAACTTTCTTTTTATACCCTAAAGTGGCCAATTTTAAAAATTATTATATAACATTTTGATCATCCCACTTCAAAAACATGAAATTCTATGAAGTCAGAAATGAAAGATTACAAATATGACAATAAGACAGAGAAGAGGTTAAAACACTCTATTTAAAGTATAAAGAAATGACAATTCCATGACCATTCTCCCCAGTGAACAAGGATGCTATAAAAACTGTGAAGGAAGAAAAAATCTTAGCTAGTTATAAAAGTAAATTTATCACTTATGTCATATAATATTAGATTAAATATCAGGAAAGAACAGCTGACTCTGCTGATAGCTCGACTAAGATAGATGATATGCCTCCCATGTTTCTACTGATCTTAAAACAAAAAATGATGTAATTAATGTAATATCTATTTTAACCTAATCTAAAACCTGATCTACTCATCAGCTTAAAATTCTGATCTAATCTATTTTTAATGTAATTCATCCCTAAAGTACAAATTCAACTCATCAAACACCCCTGAAGATGTGTGTATGCACGTGTGTTTGTGTCAATATTAATCGTTACTCTACGTAGGTATTCAGAGGCAAGACTACTACTTAAAAATTATTAAGTTTTGGTTTTGTTTGAATTTTGAAAAATAGATGGAAGGCACTGTAAACAATATACATAAGCCATAACAAATCACAGAGTTGCTCCCTCACAACCTCTATTGATAAATTCAAACTTTAAAGCTTATTCTCCTAAAAGTAAAAATTCTGCAATCATAGTACATCAAAGGTACACATGTAAATCTCTGCTTCACTAAAGGTCAAGTATAACTAACTGAGAACAGCAAATTTATCATAATTAAGAGGGGAAAAAATAGTACCATAGTTTGCCACATAATTCTCATATAAGTATTTCTAGAAAGCTCACAACTTTAAAAATGCATTCTTTTTTCCCCCTTCATATTGATCCAATCACTATTTTTTTCCTCCTGCTAAGTTTCTATCACAATCTATGCTATGGCAAGTTGAATCACCTAGGTCTCCAGGTTACTCAGTAAAGCAAAGCGCTCAACAATCAGTGTGATGAAGTGACACTGGAAATACAACAAAAGAAGGAAGTGGCATAGGACTAAAATGAATGACAGGTATGTATACTATGAAGGGACTTAACAGGTTGCCTAAACTTTGTGGATAGGCTAAAGTAGGTTTACAGTTGGTCATATGCAAAATAATACAAGAATTAATAAATAATAATACAAAGATAAACTGTTTTGCATCATCACAATTGTAAGCCTACTTTTGCCCACCCCTGTGTATGTGTATGTGTGTGTTTGTGTGTGTGTTATATCTATTTTAAAACACCTTTTAAGTAGCAACTTCTTTTCTGGTAATAGATATAAAATCTCATTGCCATTTCACATTGCAATTTATTTGCTTTAAATATAGGGAAATTCAAATAAGCAGGTTATCTTCAAATAACTATATTTAAAAGATAAACAATAAAAACAAAGGAGTATCCATTTCTTAGTTTTGAAATAAAATAAAAAAACAAGCAACCAGGTCACCTGCCTCACACTATCCATTTTCTCCATTTCAGAGTGGCCTATATTTTTTACATTTGTGAATGTGCCCTGATGCCCATTTCTCATACTCACAATCCTTCCCTGCTGCCATCAATCAGGGCTTGAAATAAGGGCTTGTTATGAGGTATGGTCTGTAAGATATTGCCATCTCCTGTCACATAGCCGATGGCCCACTGTCCCAATCTAGTGCAGCTTAACCGGAAAATATAACTGTAAAATATGAGGAAATCATGTTTAATCATATTTGAAATGTATATAAGTACTACACAATTTGTTTTTTTAAGGTAAAGAATAAACAGAATCATTTAGAATTTCTAATATAAAATTTCCTTCTAAATTATTTTAAAACTGTTGTACGTCTCTATGTATTAATCTGTAACAGAAGCGATGATCATTTCATTTAAATATCTCCAGAGTTATATGAGAAAATAATTGAAGTTGTAAATTATCAAGTGATTTATTGCCATCACCATTAGGTAATGCCCTGGCTGGTAGTTAGAACATCACCCTGAGTACTAAAGGTTTGTAGATTCAATTCTCAGTCAGGGCACATACCCAGGTTGTGGGTTTGATCCCCAGTCAGGGTGTATAGAGGAGACAACCAATCAATGTTTCTCTTTCTCACCCCCCCCCCCCCACTCTTTCTTCCTCTCTCTCTAGAATCAATGAAAAAAAACATATGCTTGGGTGATGATTAAAAAAAAAAAAAAAAAAAAAAGGAGCCCTAACCGGTTTGGCACAGTGGATAGAGCATCAGTCTACAGACTGAAAGGTCCCAGGTTCGATTCTGGTTAAGGGTATGTACCTAGGTTATGGGCACATCCCCAATAGGAGGTGCACAGGAGGCAGCTGATCAATGTTTCTCTCTCATCAATGTTTCTCTCTATCCTTCTTCTTTCCTCTCTGTAAAAAATCAATAAAATATATTTAATAAAAAAAAAAAGGAAAGAAAGTGCTGGTGGTAGAAACAGCTATGATAAATTATTTTGGAAATTAAAAATAAAATACATGGGTAAAAATTTGTCCATCCCTGACAGAAACTGAGCCAGTTTCTACTGTGGAATTCAATATACTATTTTACAATTAAAAAATTATAAAGTTTTGGTTGTTAATAATATGCATTATTATTGAAAATATACTTTTTATTTCATGTATTCTAGCCATATATCTCTAAATAAGAGCTCAAAGACCTGATCTATAAATATTAAGAACTTCACTTTGGTTATAGAACCTTACAAAATAACTTCCCAAGAAAATGTAAAAACATTCTCCTAGACAGCCTGAAAACAAAATATAAACCCATCAATTACTGGCATCCTTAATTGGATCAAAAAATTCCACACAGCTTTATTATGACTGCCAGTTGGATCGCAAATAAAGCACAACCTGAGAAACCCTAATGTCCTTGGCAAAGGCCCAACTATTCCCTTTACCATGAAGCCAAAGAGATGAAACACTTTCCAAGACAAAGGACCACTTAAATAGATATATTTTGAAAAGCAAATATTTATCAAAATTATTTGATGTGTTCATTAAAAGTTTTCCTAAACACATTTTCAATGCCCTATCAGACTTTATATATTACAGTTTATCACAGACTAAACATTTCATCTTTAACTAACAATAAAATAAATCTTTACAGGGCAGGTTGGGGAAAAAAGAAGACATCTTTTCAGACAGACAGCACTAACATTTTATTCAGAGAACTATTCCAATAGTGATGAGACCTGGTTTTTGTTTCCAACACTGTCATTAATTATCTCCAGATCTTGAACCAGAGAACATAAAATAGACTCAGTTTCCTTATTATTTTTATAGAATTGAGCAGGATAATTCCCCAAATAGTTTCTGTGTTAAATTGGTAAGACTGAATAATCCCAACCATATCTCATCTTTCAAATCATATTTCATAAACAAAAACATACTTTAATGCCAATCCAGACAGTAAAAATTATGGAAAATCTTGGCTTGAGAGATCCTTGGATGAAACAAAATGACTCATCTAAGCCATTGTCCAAAATATCTGACCTGCTATCATGGTCACAATGAGAAACATTTCTCCTTAATCTTAACAGAAGACTTCAACTTGAGCTAAATAAACTGTCATTTGCACCCACTACCTTCTTTTTTATATACTGTACAAATTGTTAAATATAGAAAGAGGGAAATTTTCATTATAGCAAAGAAGAAAGGAATCAATAATAGTGGCTTTTACTTGAAAATACTTTTTAAAAAGACATAATTTATGCCGAAACTGGTTTGGCTCAGTGGATAGAGTGTTGGTCTGCAGACTAAAAGGTCCCAGGTTCGATTCCGGTCAAGGGCATGTACATTGGTTGTGGGCACATCCCGGTAGGGGATGTTCAGGAGGCAGTTGGTCAATGTTTCTCTCTCATCCATGTTTCTAGCTCTCTATCCCTCTCCCTTCCTCTTGGTTAAAAAAAAAAAAAATCAATAAAATATATATTTTAAAAAATAATAAAAAAATAAAAAGACATACTTCATGTTATAAATCAAATAAAAACAATATTAGAAAAGGTAAACTTTAAAAAAAAACACCAACCAAATTCCTTCCTAAAATGAAATGATCTATATGCGTATATATAAAAGGCTAAGCAACTGTCTGACCAGTAGCTATGACTTGCACTGACTATCAAAGGACAGACACTCAACACAGGAACTGCCAAGCTGTAGTGAGTTGGCAGTAGCAGTTTTTGGGTGATGCACCACGGAACCAGAGAGGAGGGAGCCTGATTTAGGCTGCCCTCTTGCAATTCTGGATCCCTCGGGGGATTTTGGAGAGCTGGTTTTTCCCTGATGCCTGCATGCCAGGATAAGGAACCCCACCTGCAGAAGGGACCAAACTCACCTGCAGATGCCCTTCAAGACATGGCGCCACCCCAGGTGAGGCCAGCTGGGAAGGGACAGCGAGAAGTTGGTTCCAGGGCTTGTCAGGCCCCATCTCACCCAGTCTCACATAACTGGCCACCTTCTAATTAATTTCCTTGCAATGTGCAGGAATCTGTGTACTGGGACACTAGTCCCTATATAAAAAGTGTACACTCCTGGCTACTGAAATGGTGTCTCTTTACTAAAATGTGAATGTGAGGGGACTGGTCTCCACTGTCCTTACTGCCATCCCCAGCATGCCACTTGCCATGGCACAAATGGCTAGTATGCATCGGATGTACTCCTAGATCAGACGTTGGGAAATGCATTAACCAGGGAGGATGCATTTTCAGATGCCAGATTTGTCATTAATAAGGTTGGATTTCTTGGGAGAAGTCAAAAGGGCTGACCAAATAGTCAACCTCTATGCAGCTGACACAGATTATTATCTGGAAAAATAAAATCAATTCTCAGCTGTAAAGAACCATGAGATATAACAGAAGAAGTTCTATTGGACATGAAATTGGCTTGGCTTATAACAATGGGTTATTTATATTTATGTACTTACTAAAGGCCTGGTGTATGAAAATTCATGCACTGGAGGGAAGGTCCCTCAGTCCTGCCTTCCCCTTCTCACAGTTTGGGAGCCCTCAGGGGCAGGAGGCAACCTGGTGATTAGGGGAAGATGGTGTCCACATCACACCTCTGCTGTTGCCACTGCCAGCAGTGCAAGTCTCAGTCAGCCCTCCTTTCCTGAGCTTCAGGTGGCCCTGGGGTGGCTGGGAAGCCACGATCCAAGGCTTGCCTGTGCCTTTGGCCAGCCCTAGGGGCTGTGCAGCCACAGCTTGCCTGCAGCTCGGGCATCAGCTGGGCAGCCACCACCCAAGGCTTGCGTGTACTTCAGGCTGGCCCTAGGAGGCTGGGGAGCTGGGGGACTCTGGAGGTAAGCAGGTGGAGCGGCTGGACCCACCTAGGGGCAGGCCCAGCTATACTGCCCTGGCAGGGCTACAAGGACTGGGCACTGCCATCTTGTGGCTGTGTGCGCTGCCATCTTTGAGGGTATGGCAGTCAATTAGCATATTCCCTCTTGGCTGTGGGCGCCACCATCTTTGTTGAAGGTGTGATGGTCAATGAGCATATCCCCTCTTTATTAGATAGGATATGTGTTATGTACTTATGTTTATCATAGAGCCAAATTAAATGTCTTAAAAAATAAAAAATGAACACGAGCTTAAGACAGTTTGGCTCAGTGGATAGAATATCAGTCTGTGGACAGAAGGGTCCCAGGTTCAATTCCAGTCAAGGGCATGTACCTCAGTTGCAGACTCCGCAGGCAACCAATCAATGTTTCTCTCACATTGATATTTCTCTCTGTCTTTCCCTCTCTCTTCCACTCTTTCTAAAAATCAATGGAAAAATGCCTTCAGGTGAGGATTGAAAAAACAAAGAAAGAAATGAACATGAATCTTACATTCAAATATACACATACAATTATATACATAAACACAGGTACCTTAAAAATAGTCACTATGCTAATATTCTATTCCAATTTGAAAACCAGAACTCTGAGACCTAACAAATGGTCTAAGTTCATAAAATTACAAAGTATTTTGTTTCACTTTATGAACATACTGTACATTTCAGAACAAGCACAACATATCATTTTAAAGGATTCACTTAAGAATCCTTAATATGACTGCTGAAAAGTCCTACCTTCCAGGTTTGGTGCTGTATTTCTGTAGTCTTGCCTTAACTTCATCATATGTGAGAAATGCCATGTAACCCGGATGCGTTACAGCTAAGAAATTCCAATTCCGCAAAATAGAACCCCAAGGCTAAAAATATAAATAAAACATATTAACTAGATAACATCAGCTATCAATTACCAGCCCATTATTTAATACAATAACTAAAATGCTCTTTTAAATTTTAAGATGAATATGAGCTTATGTGGTTCAGGCCAACTTTTATTATCTAACAGTAAATATGAAAAATTTACTCTCATTTTGGAATATGATAATTAGGCAGAAAACATTTCCTAAATATAGAAAACAGAGAACGAAAAAGAAAAACCATAAAAATCCCAATAAAGCACTTTGATAATTTAAAACTTAAACCACATCTCTCTTCTCTCCAAAACCCTCCAACTCTGAGAAAAGCAAACGTCCTTATAAATGGCCTAGAAGAACCTTACAGGGTGGATCCCCAGTTCCCTTTCTTCCCCACCTGCAGTGACCCTCCCACCCTCTGCCTCTTCTCCACGCAATCTGGCTTCAGTGCTGTTGGCCTGAACACAACTGCACTCTCTACTGCAGAGCCTTTGCATCTGCTGACTCCTCAATCTTAATTCTCTTTCTATAAATAACAAAGATTGCTTTCTCCTCAAGAGAGCCTTCTCAGACCACCCCATTTAAAACTGTTACCTATCATCACCCTGTATGTCTGTTTTATTCTCTACTGTACCTTTAAATGTCTCATTTCATAGAACAAGTCAACATATCACAGAATGTAAATGATTTAGCAAAGTTTACACATCAACCATAAGCCACAAAGCAAAGAATGGGCCTGTCTTGCTCACCAAAGGGCACCAGCACTGATGCCAGAAACAGTGATGAGAAAGGACTATCCCTGCTAATCAGTGACTGGTCTACAAGGCCCTGACTCCCAATCTGGTGTTCTTCCTTTGGTAACACATCCTGTACTCACACTTGGTTTTATCCTCGCACAATTATGAAATTATAAAAGGTTTAAAGTGAGTTATGTAAAAATCTTTCCCAGAAATACACACACAAACACCAACACAAGGTTTGTATCATTCTCTCTTTAATGTGATTAGCTGCCCCTCACTAGTTACCATGGCAAGAGAGAAAAGAAAGGCAATCAGTGACAGACAACTTCGCTTGAGGGTGTGACTGAATCATCTCGGCCACATTTTAAAACCGAAGCTACATTTTTCCCAAGCAATTGGCAGCACACTGTATCTGTTGTGCCAGATTATTAACTCACATCTTCTAAATGAAAGGGGGGGAAAAGGTGGTTTATGTTGCCAAGTGAAAGTTGTAGAAATAGTCATCTAGAAATTATTATTAGTAGAGAACTTCTGCTTTTGTTTGTTTTGAGACTTGCTTCTTGTAACTGTTAAGGGTTTCAAATTTGCAAGGCAGAATTCTTTAATGATTATATCCAGTGAGATGAGAATAATAATAGAAAGAATGATTTAGTAATGAAGAACTTTTTAACTTTTTCTGACAAAAGAAAAATCTTTAACACATAGCCCCATCAAGCTGAAATATCTAACTGAGCAGACAAGAGCTCTACAGAACACTATCAGGCAATACGTGAACAAAAGATATTTTTAATTTTCCTCTTAAGGCATGACTGAAAACTACATACATAAACAATGCGTGGAAGAAAAGCAGATTATGTTTTTGCTTTTTTTAAACTGAGAAAAAAGCTGATATTATAGGCATGGAGGTTTTTTTTTTTTTTTTGCTTTTTTTTTTTATGTTCTGCTTCCCTATCTGAAATGGACATGGATGGAAAGAATATAAAATATTTGGGTCACTTCCATTCAAATCCACACAAATTCACGGAATAGTTGTTTTTAAAAAGTGCTAAACTTTACAGACAGCCAATGCTCAGAACAAAATACAATAGAAAAAACAAAGTTTGAGTTTTGAGCCAACTGCTGCAGTATTTAGCAACCACTTATTAGGACTAATTCAGAGGGTCAGCTTCTACTGCAAAAATACTTCTGTAACAGAAAGAGTCTGTGTACTGTTTTTTTTGTGAATGTAACCCACAGTCAGAAACATGTGGTAGTTATGTGTTATTGTTTTTTTGTTTGTTTGTTTGTTTTTACATATTTTGCCAACTAATGGTTTAAAGAAGGGAAAATAAAGTGCTTTTGAGAATAATAATTATTTTTGCAATTTTGTTTTTAGAGATTAGAGGACATCTTTTCACATACATTAAAAAAAATTATCTGGAAATTTTTAATGACTAATAATAAATGAAGTGAATTCAGGAGACTAGTCCCTCCATTATCCCAAAGTTCTATTATTTGCAAAAACAGCCATTTACTAAGTTACAACTTTTGCTGGAAGAAGGGCCTCAGCTGGTCTGCCCTGGTATTTTCTTACTATTTGATATAATGAGTGATTTTCCTCCCATTTTTCTTTCTATCCCATTGATGCTATATATTCCATAGTATATCCCCCAAATCACTCATTCCTCACCCTACTGCCCTCAAATGTATTGTACCATTTCTCAGCAACCAGTCTTCCCTATTAATGGCAGAAATTGAGGGAGAAGGGGAACAGCAGCTCCAGGGAAGGGGAAGAGAGAAGCAAAACCCTGTATTTCCATCCCAGGACTTTAGTACCTGCCAATCCATTTCTGAACTACCTGAAGGGAGAAGATTCAAGACAGATGAAAGAGGAAGAACTATGGAAGGTAGCCATTGCAAGTTCTTTTCCGTGACTTCCCAGCATTTGTCCCAGTTTTGGCAGAATAACAGAATGAGGGAAGAGAGGAAGAAAGGGTAACAAAGCATCCAGCTTTCTTACCTCTCTCATTTCCTAGTCATTCTCAACTTCATCTCCTAGCCTCTGCTGACTCCTTCTTCAAACCCTCATGCTAGTTCTCAATGTCTGACTCCCATCTTGAAAGGGTACTTTGCCCACTTTCAGATCCCACTCTGCTAAATATCTCACATCCAGCAACTGAGAGCTAGAAGAATTCACTGCCAATTAACCAGCATAGCACAGCTGCAGAACAAGTATTCACAAAACTACATTTTCATATAGAGTATACAACTATAACTTAAAATTATTACTCAATTTTTAAAGTTACATAGAAAAGTTCAGTAAAAGTTAACAATCCACTTTGGTATTCCTAGAACCATTTTTTTCCCCTTATTTTAAATTACATGTATGATTACTTATTTGAATAATAAAACCAAAAGAAACAAAATATCTCAAAAATCTATAGGGGCTAATGAAAGTACTTTAGCTAATTCTATAGTTAGTTATGTGTCTTAAAAGGAACGAGGTACTGTATGGTCCACAAGGAAGAGTTCAGTTTTATCTAAAACTTGTCACAGTTGCTCTGCTTAAAAAGATTCCTTTCTGCTCCCATTCCAATGGCATAAATTATATATATATATATATATATATATATATATAAATAAAAATATATAAAACTTACTGTATTAAGATAACCTGGCTGTTTTAAAGTAAAACAGCTTATAAGAAAACTAAAGGTCCAATGCACAAAATTTGTGCAAGAGGCTCATCCCTTGCAGCCCTGGCTGCCTCAGCCCTCGCAGCCCCAGCTTTCTTTGGAAGATCATCTGGATGGTTATTCTGCTGTTCAGCCTAATTAACATACGAGCTCTTTATTATATAGGATATGTGCACATATTAAATAGCAATTTGGCTAAGTGCTTAACCAACCTTAAGTTGCCCTCATACTTTTAATATACTGTATAACTCTGAGTTAGTCTAGCGTTTAATATCCACACTAACGAAGTCATCCAGACTCCCTCCCCCGCAAAAAAACACTCTCCCCATAATGAACAGTTAGGTTTAATGTATGAAAAAAACCTTTGTTCTCTTCCTTCACAAGTGGGCGAGGCAAACCTGCTGCTATTTAGAATGTCTTTAGAATGCTAACTAAAGTATTTGGTAAATTATCAGAAACTTTTAAAAGAAAGGAGAGGTCCCATTATAAAATTATCAATAACAGGAAACACATATTTTTTCCAAAATTTATCTTAAAATCATATAAGCTGACCACCCATATATACCAAGGAAATAATCAGAAAATTGCAATAAATTGAAAATAAGCAAAAGCACACTTTCTGTAGTCATTTACCTAATTTCGTATCCTATATGCCTAGGCAGAATTATGACTTTAAAGTTGTAATAAAGTAAAATATTTTATATGAGTATTGCTGACAAGAGTTAATTTGCCTTCTGTTAACAGGTTCTTTCATAAATTAAAACTTAATCCCACCCAATCTTGTTTTCTTACATGAATCAGTCACTCAATCCTTGCAAGCTAGTGCAAAGCAGAGTCATAAATCACTGAAGCAAAATATTTATAATATGGCAAACACAAAAACCAATATTGTACTCTTAACATATGTTGAAAGCAGGTTTCAAAAAGAATAAATCCAACTAAGACTAAAATAATAAGAAACTGCATCAGATTATAAGCAAGCCAGCCTGGTTTCTGATCAATTTATCTCACTGACTATATAATTTATCAGAAAGATTTTAGGTGGGCTCTTTCATTTTATGACTACTTAATTGAATCATATAGATGGTAGGGCCAATTTCAAAACACAAATTTTAGGTATTCATATTCAGGAAAATTCCATTATGACATACAAAAGAATAAAATGATAGTGTCCAGCTTTCCTCATATGATATAAAGAACTAATTTAAAAAACAACACCACCATAATAAATAAGACGGTTAATCTCAAAATCATATATATTAGGGATAAAAGAGGGGAAAAGCCTTAATTTTCCAAATATCTGTTAAATGCCCTATTACATTGATGAAATATGTGACAACTGAACATTGAAAATTATACTGCTGAAAATATTTTTCAGATGGAAAGATGTTTTTAACCTATGACTGAATGAGCAAAGCCAGTGGTAAAACAGTGCACAGAGTAATTGCCTACACTGAACAGGATACATTTGCTATTTATTTCCAAGTTTACTCTTTACCTTCTCACCTGATGAAAGTGGGAGGAAAAGGAGAGAAGTTGGGAGACAATCCCAGTAGATGCCCACCCATAAAAGTTGCATTATATCAATTATTGAGCCTAAAAGACTAACAAAGTAAAGTGAGAAACCAAATAAGGAATTCAAAACAAAGCTCCTTTGCATGAATCTTCTCAAAGCTAACAAGCAACTGGTAGGCTCACAGCACCTAGTAGTCAACATTTACATCAAAAACCAAAATGTAACATCAATGACTGGCTTTAAAATTATAGACTACCAAAAATGAGATTATTTCCAATATGCTTGTGTATATGTGCATGTGTTTGTGAGAGACATACACACGTGTCCACACAAATGCACCTAAGCACTGTACATGCATACTAAGGAGGGAAGGATTAAGCAAAAGGAAACTTACCTGAAATAGCCTGGTAAAAATATCAAATTCAAAAACTGAAATATAATCATTACATGTTAAATCAATTGTTGATTTTAGAGCCATAGCTTCCAGGCCAGAGCTAATTTGATGGACCTCATGAAGGCACTGTCTGAATACTTTCCATGGCACGATAGTTCTGTGGAAGAAAAAAAAAAGAGTAATTGAATCAAGTATCATTTAAGATATACCTTCCATTGAAAACACAATTCCATCATAATATTAATATAATTGCATTTGTACTAAAAGACAAATAGTTGAGAATATTGTCCATAATTCAGAATACATGCAATGGGTTTTGCTAGCTGCATTATGTTTTATTTGCTAAGAATATGACTAACATCTTAATCAATTTTTCTCTCAAATAGTCCTTGGCTATTAAGATATTTCTATAAATTCATGTGAAAGGAGGTATTAGGTGAAAGTCCTGGATGTCTGAACTCTTTGTGTATACAATTATGTAACTTAGAATCAAGTTAAATTTTCCCCTCTATTTATTTTCTTAAAATAATTATAAGACAGTGGGTTCATATGATATAATCCTTTGTTTATTGCACCATTTATCTACTACCTTGGGAAAGAGCAGGTGGAAAGTCATTGAGACATTTCAGCCATTACCCAAAGTTTTCAATAGAGAAAAAAAGCACATGTTATCTAACCTTTCATAGTACACAAAAGGAAATCTTAATATTTTTAACCAACCACACAAAAACATAGAATTTTATTTATTAAACTCTTACTAATTTATTTATATTTAATTATAATTATATAATTTATAATATAAAAAATATTGTTTTAGGTAATGCACTGACCTGGTTGAAAAATTTAGAACAGCATAGAATGGTAGCCATGGAAAAGTCTCCCAACCTATCCCTACCTGACCAGTCTCCAACATTCACCCACATCCTCCCCACCATGAAAATAAGTAACACTCATTAATCATTCCTTAGTTAACTTTTCCCTTTAGGGATGTTAAATACCTACTCCTAAATAGGTGGAAAAAAGAAATATATTTTTAACATTTGAAAGCTGCAATTTTCACAATAAGATAGCATAAAGGTTATATATACCCACTTACAAGATTGCATATATTTAAATTTTAGGCTTTTCTTTACCAAATAATATTCAGGCAGAACAAATTAAATTGGCTCCATCCTGTACCAATCCGCCCAAGAAAGCATCACCATAAATGTACAACTTTCATATTCATTTAAATAAGTATCTACTGTGTCAAACTTGAGTATGCATCAGCAATTTCTATTGCTGATCTTCAACTCAAGATATTCTGATTCAGGATGACGGGGGTGGGGCCTAAGAACTTCCCATTCTTACAAGTTCCCAAGAGATGCTGGCACTGCTGGTCTGGGGACAACATGCTCAAAGTCACTGGCCTGTTGTATCTAATAATTGCTAAGGCAAGGCATATTTCTGTGGAGAAATCTAACCATGCAAATACAAAATTATCATCTCCCTTCTTGAAGAGCACATTTGCAGGGTATAAATAAGCTTGTAATGCAAAGGAATATAGAGGCAAAATGCTTAAGGAAAAGCTGGAGGAATTCCATAGAAGGAGCAGTCTGAGGCAAGATGAATAAATGAATGGAGAGAGGTTTACAATACCATGCTGCAGATACAAGAAAGTTTAGGTTTGCTATAACATTAAAAGAGAGAAAAAAATATGAGTCCGAATACATCAAAAGGTTTTTCTCTATGTATGAAAAAAACAGGAAACCACAGAGAACCGAAGAGAGACACCACATCAGACACCATTTAGAAGAAATGCACATCAGGCTCTGATTAAGGTTACCAAAATGTTGCTGTTTTAAAAGAACAAGGAAAACTTTTGATAATATTAGAAGACTATTGATTGATTGTGAAGTGCAAATATGCATCTGCCCAGCTTGATTACAGTTATAGTGGAAGTAGTGACAACTAAGAAGCATATTTTCCTTCTCTATATTAAAGTTCTAAATATTCAACACACAAAAGGGACATGAACCATGATATTCAATGCAAAAAAAAATTAAAGAACTAATGATTTAAGAATGAAATGTTTTATCTTTTGTATAGAAATCTTTAAAAATGTGTCTGTGTATAAAGTATAAAAATAAATTCACTAGACACTTTTAATATCTATTATCATAAAAAAATCCTCATCCCAATATTTAGGGTATCTGGAGATCATAATCTTTTCAATAGCCAATGACTTCCCAAAGTAAATTATCTTTTTAAATGTACAAATTTCTAAAATTGTAGTTAAACATAGCACTTTGGAACAATAATTTATAAAGGGGCAAGTTATATTTACACAATACTTGTGTAAATCAGACTTTCTCATAATCCACTTGTAATAAACCTAATGTTCAAACAAGCATTTGCTAGAATCTTAATTAAGAAATAACAGGAATTAACAAGGGCAATATTAGGTTAACTACTATACACAGAAGTTTGTACAACAAATACTCTTCCTTTGATCAGCTGAGCCAAATGTCCACCATAGGGATAGGATGGGAGGAATGGTTGGGAGGGGGGATCATAGTGAAAAAACAGAAACAGAGTGCAATGACAGCTTTTAAAAATTTGTTTAAAACTGTTACACTAAGGATCTAAACTTTCCAAAGAGGATTTCAAGTTGCTACCACATTCATTCCTGATATGTCTTAGGGGACAGCAAGGAAGGTGACTTTTCCCATCTTTATGTATTTATTTATTTAAAATTACTTTATTGATTAAGGTATCACATATTTGTTCTCATCCCCGCATTCTCATCCCAAATCCCTCCCCACAAATGCCCCCATGCCCCTGTTGTCCGTAACCACTGGTTAGGCTCATATGCAGGTACACAAGTCCTTAGGTTGATCTCTCTCCCTTATCCCCACCCACCCCTACCTTCCCTCTGAGGTCCAACAGTCTGATTGATGCTGTTCTTGTTCATCAGTCTATGTTGTTCATCATTTCCACTAGATGAGTAAGCTCATGTGATACTAGAGATACACTTATAAGAACCGAAAATGAGACAAGCAATAATGGTTACGCTGAGAGGCAAATGAATCAGTCTACAGTGATCCCATCTTTAAATTAAACTGTAGCAACAAGACAGAGTGGTGGTTTCTACTACTTCTCTCCTGAGAGATGAAGAAAGTGAGAGAGAAAAAAAAAACATTATTGGTGAATTGTCTTACAAATACATAACAACATGAGTGTGCTACCGGAGACCTAGGAAAAGGAAAGAGGAAGAAAAGGAAAAGCAAGAGAGGACATAAGAAGGTCATCTAAGCTTTAAGATCTCATCAACCCAGAAATATTTTAATCTGTCCTTTTGCCACTTACAATTATCAATCACAAGTAGAATTAACTTTAAAATCCACTGCAAAGCACAAAGAAGGGAATACAAGACCACTAGGAGCCAGATACTTGTAATAATAGTATGATTTGCAGATATTTAGACTTCCAATAGGAATAAGACTTGCCATTTACTGATGGCTTACTTATTATCTGCCAATCACCAAGTTAAGTTCTTTAAATATACAACTTGAATTTAAAACAGTAACACTTTGAGACATATACTTAACTTCATAATACAGATAGAGAAACTGAGGATTAAAGAGGTAAAGTGATTTGCCCAAAAAAGACCTTACCTATATCAGGCATTGTTCTAGATTCCGAATGGAAATAAAAATAAATTCACAAACTAATAGATGAAAAGACTTCTAAATAAATTATAGTGTGGCATGTGCTAAGGATATCACAGAAAAGGATGCATGTGCCATGGATGGAAATACATGAAAACAGAAATTGCATTTCATTCATCTTTTCCCAAGACAAATGAAGTGTGCAACTAAAATTTGTGTTTTCAAATTAAACTATTATATGTTCGGGGAAGTCAACGGAACGTTTCATGAGAGTGTTTCACAGAGAAGGAGTCTAGAAATTTGACTGTGCTACCATTCGTCTACTACATAAAAAATATTCGATGACTTTTTAAAAGATGATAATAGGTTCATATAATGTCAGGAGAGACAGAAACTTGATAAATATAAGCCTATATTATGATTCTGTTATTAGATACTGGATGCTAATATATTACAAAAACAAAATAATTCTATTTTAAAATCTTGCAAATTGAGTGTCCTTTCAGAGTAAATAGGATCAAATTGATAACAGAAAACAAAACTGCAATGGGTTCAGCAGGTTGGCCACTGACAAGTCACTTGACCTTTGAGGCTTATCTCCTCCTCCGTAAACGTGGAGGCGGGTATTAGATCTTCTACTTTGAAGAAACTACAGTTTTAATACAAAAGTATAAGGAATGGAAGACAAAAATGTTAGATTGAGACCCAAAGAAAAGCAAAAAACAATTTCATGAAACCACAAGTTCAAAAAGAGCCATAGGTTTTATTTTTATCTCACATGGGGGGAAATCACATACTTAAGGTGTGAATCTCAACAAAGGCCAGGGTGTTTGGAAACAGGAACGTTAGTATACTTCTGGTGTGAGTGAATGATACTTCACACAGCATTTCTAGAAGGGAATTTGATAGCAAGTTTCAAAAGCCTATACATTTGTACTCAAAAGCCTACTTCTAGGGATTTCATCTTAGAAAATTATGTTAAATGTGTGCGTGTGTGCGTGTGCACGCGCACACACACACACAGTAGTGCAAAGACCATTCATAAGTGTCTTCACAGTGTTGTTCACAATAACAAAATCATAGGACATAATATATCCATAGATTAGAACATTTTATAGTAATTAACAAGTATGCAGGAAAAATACTTATTGACCTAGAAATGTGCTGATGGCCTATTAAATGCAAATAGCATTTAAAAAATTGTATGTCCTTTATGTTACAATGGTACAAACTATCTAGAATGTCTGCAGAGATCACACAGATCTTATTTTAATTTTATTATTTTTAAATATATTTTATTGATTTTTTTACAGAGAGGAAGAGAGAGGGATAGAGAGCCAGCAACATCGATGAGAGAGAAACATCAACCAGCTGCCTCCTGCACACCCCCAACCAGGGTTGTGCCCGCAACCAATGTACATGCCCTTGACTGGAATCGAACCTGGGACCTTTCAGTCCACAGACCATCACTATTCACTGAGCCAAAACGGTTTCGGCTCAACACAGA